GTGACACAGAACTTCCCCTCAGTTTACGTCAAAAACTTACTCAGCTTACTTCAATAACTAGCAACATTCACAATTCTACAATGAAATTGTCAGAGTATCAAACATAAAAGGAATGAACTTATCTTTCTTATTAACAAATTTAGTCCACTTGTTCTTGCCATCCAGGAGATGTGGCGTAGAACGTCCAATTTAGGATCTCAGGTTATTCATGTCTTCGGGATGATAGGAACGATGGACATGCTGGTTCCTCTATTCTGATCTCAAAAAAAAATTATATATTCTTCTATACCTCTTCCTTCCCACAGCTCCTCGATTAATGCTGTTGCAGTCAAGGCTATCAACATATCTTTTCTGTCTGTATACATTCCTGATCCTAATGTTACCATCTTAAATAAACTTCGTAATCTTATTTCTTCTCTAACTCCCCCTGTTGTTATCATGGGAGATTTTAATATTCACCATACTTCATGGGGCTCACATCACTGCAATTCTCTATCATCTACATTTATAGATATGATAGACGACTTAAATCTTTGTATCCTTAATGATTGTTCTCCTACCCGCCGTGTTTCACCTTCTCAGGACGTAAGAAGTGCAGGGGACTTGATTCTTTGTTCTCCTGGCTTAATTTCCCTTCTATCATGGAAAACTATCATCATTACCAAATTCACATAGTAATGATCACTATCCTATTTTTATCACATCTGTTGACTCTACAAGAGCAAATTCTGAATTCATTATCAAAGGCAGACTGGCATCTTTATTCTTCTGTCTTAGATCAAACGATATCAACAATTCCTTCTTTGCTTCATGAAAATGTACATTCAGTCTATACAGCATTCAAAAATACATTATTATCTTCCACCAGTAAGAAGATTCCTTTAAAACAATCCTACAGAAACAATTTGGCCTCACCTCGGTGGGATCAGGATTTCACCTCTGCTTGCAAAAAAAGGAAAGAGGCTGAACAAAAATACTCTTTATCAATGACCTTGGAAAACTACATTTCCTATAAACAAATAGCAGCTGAAACAGTAAAATTGCTATATCAGAAGAAACAAACTGGCTGGCATAGGATTGTTCTACCTTATCTCCGTCCACACCTCCTTCTCTAGTCGGGAAAAACATTAAAATATATCGCTGTTCTTAAGCAGTTGAACAAAATGACCAATGAATTTGGCTTGAAGAATTTTCACTTAATCTTGCTCCTCCTTCAGCGCCCACACATGCTGAATGTTTAGCTTTTAATTCTTCTTCTATACAATCTCCAGATAAATTTGGTGCCCCTTTTCTTACGAGAAATTATTTACAGTTCTTCAGGGTCTTAAGGACTCCTCTCCAGGAGTAGATGGGATTCCTTACTCATTCACAATTAAAAGCAGTAAAAAACTAAAACTGTATTTCTTGATATTCTGAACCACATTTTTGACTCGGTTAAAAATCGGTTAGAATGGTTCCTAGAGAGTAAGGATGTTTTACCAAAAAGCCAATTTGGCTTTCGAAAAGGCATTGCTTTTTCTAAAAATGAATATATTGTTGGAGTCTTTCTCGATATTTCATCCGCATACAACAATATACTTCTTCCTGTACTCAGGCAAAAAATGCTGAAGCTGAGTATACCAGTGAAGATAGTAAACTATATACCAAACTTTTTCTCTTCTCGGTCTATTTTAATAAATTACTATAACTCACTACTCCCCCCCCCCCCACACACACACACATATTTGGAAAGGTCTTCCACAAGCCTCAGTCATCAGTCCTATTCTCTATCTCTCTCTCCGTTTCCAAAAGCAGTATAGTGATTTTTACTCGCCATAAGAATGTCCCTAATATTCCAGTTTTGTATTAAAGGTCTATTTTTATTCGGGACAAGGTAAATTTTTTAGGTATGGTACTTGATATTAAATTATCCTTTACACACCACATTGAATACATTTCTAAAATGTGTGATAAGAATATAAATATTCTGCCTTCCCTTTCAGGAGTATTGTGGGCATCTCAGCCCTTTTCAGAAAAGTTATTATACAATGCTGTAATTCGTAGTCATTTAGATTACGGATGCTTTCTTTTAGAGCCATGCAATAAATCATCACTTAAAAGTTTAGATAAGATACAGTATAAATGTCTGCACATTATAATTGGTGCAATGATATCTTCCCCGATTAATGCCCTTCAGATAGAGATCCTCCTCTCAACATAAGAAGACAATATCTTTCAGACAGATTCTTCTTTAAGATCTGTCAACTCTCTTCTCATCAACTAATTCCCAAGCTACACCTACTCTCAGAATTCTTATGTTCGAGTAGGTACTGGCTCCATAAAGATTGTCCACATTTATTTATTAGCTTAGTCTCATTTCTCCAAATTCCTGGGCCCATTTTCTCATGCAATACAAGTCCACTCTTTAATACTCCTTTCAAAGCTATTATATATCAACCTAAAATTCATCTTGACCTAGATATTAGAAAAGGTTCCCCTGAGGCAGAATTAAAATTAAAAGGAGCCATTGGGAATAATTTAAAATTAAAAATTTTGTACAACCGACTTTAATATAAATTACTAAGAATAACTTTAAAACTATTGATCAGACCTTGATCAAATTTATATGGAACCACATATGAACCACCAGCTTTCAAATAAAAAAAAGAATCATCGAAATCAGTTCACCCAGTAAAAAGTTATGAGGTAACACACATAAAAAGCAGGTGAATTGAGTACCGTGACCTTTCTGAAGTCTATAGAAAATTGTAAAGTTTGGATGACTGTGTATACAGATGCATCCAAAATACTGACGATGGCTGTACTGGTGCAACTGTCTGGATCCCCGGGTTTAAAATAATTCTTAGCTTTAAGTGCCCTTCATTATGTTCCATTTTTACTGCTGAGACAATTGCAATCCATGAAGCTCTGCTATATGTTGAATCACATGATTTTTAGCGATCCTAGAGTTGTTTATCTGCTATATTAGCTAACCAATTTCAAAGTAAATATAAATTTCTTATAATTCTTGATATAAAAAGCATTCTGTATAGGTGTCATCTTAAAGGGATTTCTGTCTGCTTAGCCTGGATACCTAGCCATAGTGGTATCTGTGAAAATGAAAAAGCAGATTTGTGTGCCAAAGAGGCTACTAGAAATGGCACCCCTCTAAATATTACTTATTCCCATGACTTGCTTTCACTTGCTAGGAAAAAGCTTGTTACCACGTGGAATGAGATATGGAAAGCATCTCGAATATTAAAAGGCAAGCACTACACTGCTATACAAGATAATTTTCCATCAAGACTTTGGTTTTTCATATTTAATAAAGCAAACAAACGTGCTACTTCTATTGTCTACAGGTTGAGAATTAAACATGCCTGTACCTATGTTCACCTAGCTAAACTCAGGATTAGGGATAGTTCTTTGTGCGTATGTGGTTTAGATGAGGGAAACACTCATTTTCAATTTCCCTTTTTTAAGCAGACCTTGTGTCCCAATTAAACCTTTTAGCATGTAACATGTCATTAGCAAATTCATAGCAAACGCCATAAAGGAAGAAGAAGAACTACTTCTTTTTTAGTAAATGTATCGATAATATACTACCAAAATAAGTTTCATAAATGGTCAACTGGTGATGATTTTTTTTCTTAGATGACTTCATATTAAGTATCAGCAAATGTAAACTGTAGTAATAGTTAAAAACACACATATAGAGGGTATAAGTGAATCATTAGTTTGTTTATCACTTCAATTTTATAAATGACTAGCTGGTACCCGGCGCGTTGCTGTCACACAAGAAATAATTGTCCGAATATTGTTTTAAATTTGAAAGAGTTATATTGTTTAATTAGGAATGATAATAGATTCATTTATATTGAATTATGTAACTTTCAAATAAATTTATCGGTACGACCTAGTGTTAGTTAATTGTACTATGCCTATAATCTTTGTACTATTTTTCTACCGACTTCAAAAAGGAGCCGATACTCAATTCGACTGTATGTTTTTTTATGTGTGTTACCTCATAACTTTTTACTGGGTGAACCGATTTCGATGATTTTTTTTTATTTTAAAGCTGGTGCTTCACATGTGGTCCCACGTTAAACAAGGTCTGACCAATAGTTTTTGAATTATTCTTAATCATTTATATTGAAGTCGGTTGTACAAAATTTTTAATTATTGATGAGTTGCTTCAAGTATTGCTTCAAAATTGCGGACACAATTTTTTCATTTAACATTGTTCCACATAACTATGGTTCATGACACAATAGTGATAGTTTGGGATTCCACTTGCCACTCCAGAGCAACAGCTTTATTTTATTCAACAGTCAAGAAACTAGTATGGTTAAATGGGCTTATTTCATAAAAATGTTTTGTTGTATGTTGCTTGTTGCTTCCGATTTTGCAAGTAGTTGTCAAATAATTTTAACTGGACCCCTCTCACCCCAGTTGCTTCGAGTTTACGCATGAGGGTGGGAAAAGAAACAGTATGAAATGGCTTTCTGAGGTCAATAAAAACATTAAGACCTTGGTCTAATTCCTTGATGACAAAGGAGGTTAGAGCTAAGACTGCATCCTCTGTTGATTTTCCTCGTCTAAAGCCGAGTTGAGATTTATAACATTCTTTTAGAATGTTATATTTCTCGAAGTAGTTTATTAGAGAAAGGTTTATCAGTTTCTCTATAATTGAGGGAAGGCGGAAGGTGCTCTACAAACTAGGTGAGACACATTATTTTATTTTATTGCATGGAACTGAGCAAATTAATTTTTGACATCTTAATACTTCACGTTTAGGTGAGGTCTATAGGCTCTAGAGTCTAGGCTATATTTTATTCGAAAAACTTGATTTTTTTTAAACTAAAAATTAATAAAAGAAATAATAGTCTTTAATTATTTTAAACCTAAATAACGCCCCATTAATAGATGTAGGCGAAACCGGGGTGGATCGCTAGTATAATACATAAGAGGAGATATAATAATAAAGTAAGGATATTTAAAAAAATTAAAACCATTTTTAGGTTTTAGAAGATGTTTGTGCCAAGCAAGGATTTCAACCAGCAGATTATGATTTGAAACATCACAACAAGGTTCTAGATTTAACAACTACTGTAAGGTTTTGTAATTTGCCAAATAAAGCAATGTTAGAAATGGTAGAAGCTGAAAAGAGAAGAGTGGAATCTAATGTCACCGTTGCATTATTGTTAGATAATGGTAAGTGTCATAGGCTACCTAAAAATAATATTTTTACGACATTTACAAAAATATAAGCTTAGTTGTTAATTCCAATGCTTTTAGGACAGGACTTATTAGAATTAAGCGTCATGTCATCATCTCTCAATTTTCATCAAATTTGAACCCTTTAAAAATGCTATTTTATTTATTTTATTTTATTTATTTTATTAGGCTCTCACATCAATGAGTACACTGTTACATACATATGGAATGACATCACAATTATTAAAACTAAATGTCCCATTACTTATAGGAGGGCACCACATGCATAAAAAAAGAGACTTTACGTTGATTTTACAACAGTACATAGGTACAATTTAACTCCAATAAAATTTTAATTTTAATTAATAATGAAGAAACTTCCATAAGAACTTAGCCTTAATCGCCGATAACTACTTTTTTGTCTATTCTGCTTTGGTATTCTTTATATAATGCAAACATTCTTGTTAAGGAACAATGTGATCTTAAATTAGTTCGACCTTGAGGTGCAACAAATAATTTGCTATTAAAGGATCCAGGCAACCGATGCGGTACATTAAAATTTATCTTACTAAGAAGATCGGGACAGTCCAAAAATCCAGTCACCAATTTCTTTAAGAACAATAAATCAATAATTTTTCTTCTCGTTTCCAATGATGGGATCTTAAAATGAGACAGTCTTTCCTCATATGACTTGAGCGTCCTGGCCATATTACAGCTACGAGTCAAGTGCCACAGAAACCTTTTTTGTACTTTTTCAATGCGGTCTATATGTATTCTGTAACTGGGTGACCAAACTACACTGCAATACTCCAAGTGACTCCTTACTAATGAATTGTACAATATTATTTTTGTTGCTGGTTTTTTAAATTATATAATTTTTTATATTATATAAGACAGTCAACTTTGAGGATTTAGTATGTTACATAAAACCATACAGAAACTGATTGACCATAAATTAATTTAGTTCTACTTTTTTTAAATGTCGAAAGCATTTTCTTTCATAAATAATAAATTTAATTGTTGTTTTGTAAATAAAATACTAGAAATTATAAAATAATTTGAATGCTTTAAAGTGTGAGGACAAGAAAATTATATCTTGCTTTAGTATCTTGCGACAGGAGGGGGGGGGGGGGGGGGGGTGAAGGGTAGGGGAGGGAATGAATTTTAAACTAAAACTTTTTGCTGGACTATTAAATATTACTACGCATTAATGCTATTGTTGAACTGAAAGCACCTACAGAGTTAAAAATAGCATTTAAAGTTTAGAAATTTGGCTTTAATGAAAATTAAAAAATGTTACATTATTGTATATATAGTAGTCGGAAATTAATAATCAATGTCTCAAAAATTTTAGGTGAAAGAAGAACAGGAACTTTTCATCCAAGCACATCATTGTATGACTTAATTATAACTTTGGCACCTACAGAGTTATCATCTTTGGAACATCCTTCTATACTGTACATGAGACAGGAAGTAACTGGTATAGACACTCTTAAAGATAAGTCGTTAAGACAGCTAGGACTGATAACAGGCAGAGCAATATTGAGGTTACTGAATAAAACAGAATCTGTGTATGTATATTATATATTATTAATGTTTGTTTCTTTTTTAAGATTTTTTAAAATTCATCAGATGCTTCTCTCTCATTCACAATAATTGCAGATATGTAGGCATGTGCTCTATGGATGGGTGTTTAAATTTTAATACTTTACTTTCAGTTCTTATGTTAAGCTTAATACTCTTCTCACTTTGAAGTAACTGGTAGTAACCAACGAAATGGCGATTTGATATGGTTCAAAGAAATTTAGCTACAGTCTTAAGGAGAAAATTTAGAATTTACTAGTATATGACTCGTGATCCTATATTCTCTACGCCCACCTGATGTGAGTGTTATGACGTCACTAATGCATACTAGTACATGCAATAGCTTAAATTAGTGTTTGCCCTTCGAAGTGATGATTTATATCTTGACAAATTGACACGATTTGAACAATGGTGATGTCTATATATATATATATACACAGTCACCGCACTGGGAGGGTGAGTTAGTGAGTGCAGATCACCCTTGTGCTGGCGCGCTCCCCAAAAAATATCTGTTGATCGCCAAAGCAGAAAATCGTTCCATTGGTCAGTCGGTAGAGTGCAACATGAACCCGCGAGGTTAATATAATATCTAACATAAACATCAGACAATTCAAATTATTGGAGGCATTTTAGTTTTGATCATTAATAAAGAAAATTTAAATAAAAATGTCATGAACGGATAGACAGAAGAGATAGCTTTAAAGAGAATAGCGAATATACGTGGTAGAGCCATGCTGCAGCAATATTTCTGGTATAGTTGTAACACGAATGGGTCGGCTCGACCGGGGAAGGACCACGCTCTCACAGAATACCAGCGTAAAATAGCAGCTTAATGCTGCTGTGTTTCGTATGGTGAGTGTAGAGAACCGGAAACCCTTTTTACTGGAAACGAGGCATTTCATCTTAGTCCTCACGGATGACAACTCATCTGCATTTTGATATTCGTAATCGAGGATGAATGTGGATGTCTATGGGCCACAGCAGCCACTTACCATCAGGTGGACTGTGTGCTCGTTTGTCGCCCTTATCCTATAAAAAAAGCGAACAGCAAAGCAAGGCAAGAGCCTATCTAGCCCTACGTCTCTTCTGTATGACCCCCCGCGTTTATTAGTCATTCTGTTTAACTTTAATAATTAGCTGTCCCATGACGAGTGAAAAGTACGGAACTGATTTTATGGAAAAGGAGTCTGCGGCTTACCTGATCATTAACAACATCATAGGAATTCTGGTACATTGCCAGTATTTCAGAAAGGAGTAGTCTCTTTTCTTCAAGAATAGGTAGAGCTTTTCAACTGCTGGCAACAGCAAATTACACAATGCGTCGTGCTCGTGCGTGTCAGAAGATATTTAACGCACCGATGCTGTCTGAACTGTCACGCACGATGGTGGATTGCCAACCATCAAGACAATGTGGATGGAATTTAAAATGATACCCTTAAGTATGACAGTGAAATTGAACATAATCTATATAATTAATACATTTATCAAATTATAACTTTTACTCCGCAGACAAGCAAATGTATCAAGAGTATATGGTCGGCCTCAAGTTGAAGAAAGTCTCGACAAATCAAGCGACAATACTTCGTCAGTAAATGCACAAAAATCGTTTCAATGTGAAGAAACATCGGCTCCAGGTCCTTCTGGTATTGTCAAGAAAGACAATAGGACGACTATTAATGCTCTCGAAATGATAAAGCAAGAAATTTTTAAAAGCGAAAAAGCTGCAGACAACAAAACTGAAAAACTAGATAGTGAAGAAAATAAAGACGTCGATATGAAAATGGAAGTAGACACATCTGAAGTAGATATACCTCAAATGTCTGCCACTATCACAACTCCAACTCCTGTAACATGTCAGATTTCACAAGAGAAATTAGAACGACGTTTAAAAATAGAAGAGGAAGTAATATTTGTAAGTCATTCTCATCATATACCAAGAAATGGTTTACTTCATTTAGTAGTATTTTTAAACTCTATAACAATATCGTCAATGTTTCAGTCGAATAGGAATTAGGATTTTCGTTACCATCCAAGAGCAATATATGTATGTAAAATACCTCCACGAAACAAAAGTTACTTCATTAAGGACCTTATAAAGAAAAGTACATTTTGTCATGTTATTTTTAATTAATTACATCAAATGGTTCTAAACTAATGGTTTTTAAACTTAATATTACATTTTATAATTAAAAAAAGTCACACGATTTTTTTATAACTATTGTAAATCTGTGCTTGACTAATATCCCTGCTAATTCTAAGCGGTGATACAGCCAAATAAGTTAAAGAAAGTTAAGAAAAATATAGTAAAATTGTGTATGAAGGCATTTTTACAAACATAAATTGCACAATGTGTCACCCAGACCGATCCGGAAAAATATATTTGTACGTCATTTCAAAATCCCTTACAAGAATCGAACCCGCCACAGCTAAAAACTGCGATACGGTTACGCTTCCAAGGTTTCAAATTGAAGAATTGATTTCAATCTTAGAACTTCAAACTACGATGACTATGTAGTTAACAAGTACATCCTTTTCCATTATTATAGACCTACGATTTAACAAAGGATCGAATCTTACATTTAGAATATATTTATTTAAACAGAAAAAAACCCAAATTTTCGAAAAGAAATTCGCTAGTTGAAAGAATAAATCTCTATAAAGTTAGCTAGTTTATACCTAAAACGAGGGATTACATAAGTAATAAAACTATTGTGTCCATAGCATTTTTTGTGAAATCATTAAAAAGCAAGTTATTTCTCTATCAATCTATCATCAAGTGATATATTTACGAAATCGCAACGAATGTAAAGTAAAATAACAATACTATATTGTATTTACAATCTGGGGATTGCATTCATGTAAATAATGCAATCACAAAATGGCGTTTTATGGAGTACATGACTAAAATTGACATACGCCTTTTCATAAAAAATCGTTAATTTCAATAATTTTTACTTCAATAAGAAGTTTCTTGCATCACGGTGAACACTGACAAGTCGTTTTAGGCAATGGTTAGCCTTTATTCTTTGATAAAAAATTAACTCTTAATAGCTTATTCACTTTATTTTCAATTATCCTTCTCTGTCTAAATAATTCTCCTTTTTACGGGTTAGAGCCGACGGAAACCTCCCACAGAATACTTGTATGAAATTGCTTCATAATGGTCCTTAATTTAATAATGTCATCTGCATTTTGATACTTAATCTATATCTATACAAATAAATAAAATTGAAGTCTCTTTGTAATGTCAAAATAACAGCTTTTTACTAAATGTATATGAAAGTAATAAAAACTCAATTTTTAACATTTTTGTCTGTCTGTCTGTCTATTTCTTCCGGCTAATCTCCGAAACGGCTGGACCGATTTTCACGAGACTCACTGGCAGATAGCTGATGTTATTAGGAGTAATTTAGACTATTTTTATCTTAGAAACATGATTAGGGTTCTGCGCAAAAAAAATTTATTTGTGTCTATGAGCCACAGTAACAACATCAGGTAGAGAAAATAAAATGTTCTATATGAAAATAAGACTTATTGTTTTAGCTAGGTGCCCAAAAAGCGATAGCTTTTATGCAACCAGATGAGATGGAAGATGAATTACAAGACCTCCCCGACGACTTTTATGATCTAACAATAGAAGAAGTGCGGAAGATGTACCATGAACTGCAACAGCGCCGCATAGAATTGGAGAATACGCCTTTAATGATTTCTACGCAAAGATCTGATATTGAAAAACAGGTAAGTACTCACTTTTTTGTACCATGTAGCAACTAATTGTGGTTGCTGCTCGACCGGAGAAGAACAACACTCTCACGGAACACCAGCGTAAAATAGTACGTTATTGCTGCGTGCTGCGTGTGTGCTGGGGACAATCACGATATAATTATTTTCTGATGATAACTCTTTAATTTTCAAACCAAAACGGAAATCAATTAATTTTGACGGCGTGAAAGATGTTCTATTGAAATTAGTACATTGGTTTAGCGCCAACAATTTTCTTCTAAACATTTGAATACCAATATGCTCTTAAGTGGTGAAGAGTTGAGTCTTCTGGATTCCACTGTTCTTCATGGAATTACTATTGACGTCATGCTCCAATGAGCGCCGCTTTAATGTATATATTGCATTTCCGTACCACCTAGCACATATTGCACTCACTGTGTTATCTTAAACGTATCGTCACGTATTTTTTAATCAATTGCACAATTACTGGATGTGACAAAGCTTGAATTACTCGCAAAATGAGTGAAAATCTCACGAGACGAAAAAGCGTCCATATATTTAATTATGATCGTTGTATCAGTACAAAACCTTGTACTTCGACAGCCTGATGATGAATGAACTAAGTCTAAAAGTATACGAGGAGCGGCTGAAAAATTTTGAGCCTAGGGTATTAAAAATGCTGATAGAAAAGTATACAAAATTTATTTTTCTATGTAATCTCCCTCTAATTCAATGCACTTCTTACATTTGTGATAAAGGGCTTTTAACACAGTGAAAAAATAAATCGCCATCTTTGCCTTCGAAATGCTCGTCTACCGCTACATTCATTTCTTCGTCTCTCGAAAATCTTCGTCCGCTGAGATCTTTCTCCAAATTTGGAAATAAGTAAAAATCACTAGGGACTATGACTCGTATGATCGTCTGAACTGTATGGTGGGTGGTCTTCAAATCCAGTTTTGTTCAGGCCACGCTTTGAAACTCGCGCAGTGTGCACGGGCGCATTGTCCTGCAAAAACAGGACTCCTTTCGCCAGTTTGCCTCTTCTTTTCTTGACAACCACTTGACGCACTTTTGTCAACAATGCAGTGTAATAGTCCCCGTTCATTGTACTATTCTTAGGAAGGTATTCAATCAATAAAATTCCTTCGCAGTACCAAAAAACGGTGGCCATGAGCTTGGATGCCGATCGCTCCACTTTCAATTTCCGTGGCGAATTTTCTCCCTTTTCAATCCACTGCATTGACTCTTGTTTTGACTCTAGATCGTACTGCCGTATCCATGTTTCATCAATGCGAGAAAAAACATCGTCAAGATTATCGCTACAGATGTCCAAAAACTCCTGCGAAGTTGTGACTCGACGCTGCTTGTCCAGCGGAGTAAGCATTTTTGGCACACATCCACCTTTTGCATGTGCAAATGAGTATGCAAAATATCGCCGATTCGTTACTTGCTAATGCTTATGGATTCATCTGCCACAACTTGATTTGTCGATCATCTAGAACAAGTTTCTTTACTTTTTCAATATTTTCTTCGTTAACGGCAGTGTTAGGCCGCCATGACCTGGGGTTATTTCTAGCGACTCCCTGCCATGCTTGAATTCTCGACTCCAACGTTTTACGGTGGTAAATGAAGGTCCAGAGTCCAGACTCCCCGTAAACTGTCGACATCTCTTCAAATATTTCTGTCGGCGTTTTCTTCTTCTTTGTGAGGAATTTTATGACAGCCCTGTACTCCAATTTCATATAACGCGCGGATGACTGAGACATGATCATGTTTACGGATTAATTACAAAAAGCGTAATGGTGTGAAACTCTGTATGTATATTAAGGAGGGTATTCGCAAATTAATAATATACAGCGCGAGACAATAATGACACTATAAGGTACTTAGGCTCAAAACTTTTCAGCCGCCCCTCGTATGTTACATAAAACATTTCTAATTTCAGATCGCTGAACAGAAACAAAACACCTACAAAAATGCTGTGGTTCGAATACAGTTCCCAGACCATATGATTCTACAGGGTATTTTCTCTCCATTGCAAACTATAGAAGAAGTTATGAATTTTATTAAAGAATATCTACAAAATCCTGATAAACCATTTGTTATATGTGAGTTATATATTTTTAAATACTGCGTTATATTCAAATGCCTTCTCAAAACTGTAACGATGTACTAAATGAGCATTCGAACCACGTATTCGAACCAAAAGGTTTGTAGCGCCGTGCGTCAAACGTACAGCAAAAGAGTGAATGGTATAAGTTGCCAGCATCTGTCTTTCCATCCGATGCGGGTGGTGTTTTCAAGGCAAGACTGAAAAGGCTTTTGTTAAGTTAGTGCACTTTACTATCTTCGGCTGCATCACCACTTACCATCTGGTGGTATAATGGTCAAATTTTGGCTAAGATTAGTTAAAAAAAAATCATGTAAATTTGTGGTTTTATTTATAGTTTAAACCAATTCCCCTTGAATAATACTGAATACTGAATTTTATTTCAGTTACTACACCACTTAAAGAACCTTTAGACCCAAAAATGACTTTACTTGAAGCAAAATTCGTTCCCTGTGTACATATGCACTTTAAATGGGCAGAAGAAAATAGTGGCGAGCCGTATCTAAAAGAAGAAATTTATTTAAAGAAAACTTCAAGTGACGCTGCAAGTATTTTAGCCTCAAAATACCGGTACGTATGTGAAGTCGTTTTTAATTAAAAAATAAATTAAACTCATTCGATCGGTAATACTTATGTATTATTTATACTTATATACTAGTCGCGCAGAAAAAAAATGGGATTATAAATGGTGTCTCATATATTCACCTCTCGCTTGCACACTGTCGATATCTACACTCACACTCGCCGGTACTAACCACAAAAAATTAATGGTAATTTATTCGCTGCGATTTTGTGCTTCTAATTTTAGGCCCAAGTAATAAACAAAACATAAATGTTAAATCTACGTTTTATGAAGTATAAATTATTAAATTAGCAAAAATATTATTTGTTAAATGATTTACATCCATATTTAATATTCACTCAATAATCTATAAAAAGAGAAAGCCTTTGGTTCCGTCGAAATTTGGGCGGTGCTACAGTCCCTTCAGCGGTGCCAAGTTGACTGTCGGTATATCGAAGTGCTGAAGTGTTTGTACAGTAGAGCTACGATGGCTATCCGAGTACAGAATCAGAGTACGAAACCTATCCAACTGCAGAGACGTGTAAGACAGGGTGATGTTATATACCCGAAACTCTTCACCGCTGCATTGGAAGACGTTTTCAAGCTTCTGGACTGGAAAGGATACGGTATTAACATCAATGGCGAGTACAGCACTCACCTTCAATTTGCCGACAATATAATCCTTATTCTCAGAATTGTTGGAGGACCTAAGCACTATGCTCAATGACCTCAATAGTGTCACCCAACTGTTAGGTCTTAAGATGAACCATGGACAAAACAAAGATCATGTTTAATGTCCATGTCACACCTATGCCGGTAGTTGTTGACGAGTATGTTTCATCATCATCATCATTACAGCCCTTCACAAGTCCACTGCTGAACACAAAGCACGGTCCTGAGCCACCTGCATCCATCGACTTCTTGCATGTCTTACCAGGTCATCACTCCATCTCGTGGGGGGACGCCCTACACTTCGCCTACCGGTAGGAGGCTGCCACTCGAGAACCTTTCTTCCCCATCGGTTGTCGGTTCTTCGAGCTATATGGCCGGCCCACTGCCACTTCAGCTTACTAATGTATGTTTACCTCGGACAAATAGTCCGACTAGGTAAGTCCAACTTCGACCGAGAGGTTAATCGACGGATTCAACTCGGTTGGGCAGCGTTCGGGAAATTACGGCACATCTTCTGGTCAGATATACCTCAAAACTTGAAAATGAGACTGTACAACCAGTGCGTGTTGCCAGTGATGACCTATGAAACTGAGACGTGGTCCTTCACTGCTGGCCCGATGAGGAAGCTCAAGGTCGCTCAGTGAGCTATGGAGAGGGCTATGCTCGGAGTTTCTCTGCGTGATAAACTTAGAAATAATGTTATCCGCAGTAGAACCAGAGTGACCGACATAGCCCAACGGATTAGTAAGCTGAAGTGGCAATGGGCCGGCCATATAGCTCGAAGAACCGACAACCGATGGGGAAGAAAGGTTCTCGAGTGACAGCCTCGTACCAGCAGGCGAAGTGTAGGGCGTCATCCCACTAGATGCAGTGACGACCTGGTAAGACATGCAGGTAGTTGATGGATGCAGGTGGCTCAGGACCGTGCTTTGTGGCATTCCTTGGGGGAGGCCTATGTTCAGCAGTGGACTTGTGAAGGGCTGTAATGAATCCATAAATAAAATGACAGAGGTTTGCAGTTGTGCGCTCATCACGGAAAAACTACTGGATAGATTTCAATTAGGTTTTCTAAGTTTTATTTCTTAGACACTTGGCCCGTATATGAAAAAATATTGCGATATCTTCATTTAATATAAAGTTATTAAAGTTTTTAAGAAACAACTATTTTTATAGCACTACGTGTTCAGTGATGAGTGTTTTCTTGCCGCGGAAAAGTGCGCCAAGCGGTGTATTGCCCATGCGTAGGAGAGGGGAAGCCTCTTCTACCTCTGCCTCGTGATAAAGTCAGCGCCAGCCGCGCATTAATTGCGCGAGCGACCTGATGCTGTTCAGTTGTATCTTGATCAATTGCCCCCCGTAGTTTCAATAACTAAAAATTTCCAAATACTACAAAACAATACTTATACTGACAAAGTTTTAATTAATATAATATCATTTTGTAATAGACGAAACAGAAAACGAAAGCGGTGCTTATAACGTTACATCGTTAATGTAACCTTTGCTTTCGTTTACGTACCGTGTATGCTGATAGTACATTTTAGCCGCCATTTCTAATCTCATTCTTTATCCGCACGAGCTATACTATATGTATATATGGCAAGTTAAATAAGTGATTCTAAATTCAAATTGGAGGTTTCAAAAATAACAATCGCTGGTCATTAACATACTAAATGACCTAACTGGCTGTGAGCGATTACAAAATCCAAAAACAGTGACAGAATACACTAATTTTATTTACCATTCATTTAAAACGGATAACATAATATTGTTTGAATGACCTAATTTATGTCTGTTTATCAAAATTATGTCTCGCAGTCTCGCACTAAATTCAATATTTGGCTAATCTTTTAATTAAACTGAGCTACATTTTACTTAAAATGAAATGGTTAATAAAGCGAAACCTCACCAAGAAATATCTTGCTAAGCAGCTTAAAATAGATTTATATATTATCTCATAAAAAATAGTGTATTATGTAATCAAAATTTTAATTTATACAAATAAATAAAATTAGAGTGTCTGTTTGTAATATCAAAATAACAGCTTTTCACTAAATACATATGAAAGTATATATGGTACTTATAACAAAATCACAATGTTTAAAATTTTTGTCTGTCTGTTTGTTCCGGCTAATCTCCGAAACGGCTGGACCGATTTTGATGGTACTTTCACTGGCAGACAGCTGTTGTTATAAGGAGTAACTTATTCTACTTTTATTTAAGAAAAAGAATAAGGGTTTCGCGCAAAAATTACCAAAAAAACCTAAATTATACGCGGGCGAAGTCACGGGGAACAGTTAGTTAGAAAATATTACATAAATATATGCAGCTTTGGGGTGGCCCTTGACCTACATTAGTACTTAACATCTGCATCTTAACCTACTAATTGCTTAGTATTTATTATTTAGTAGCTTTTGTTCGCGACTTCGCCCGCGTAGATATTATACTTTAAATTATAGGTGATCCATCAATAATCACTCTCTTTAGGAATGATTTCCGTGATCAAAACTATTCTATTTCCTTCCCCGGGACTTAAACTATCTCGATAACAAATTTCATCTAATTCGGTTCAGCTGTTTAAGCGTGAAGACGTACATTTGCTCACGCGGCGAAAAGCGATGTCTTCCCCCACCTTACCCGCAGTACGCTCGGCCGCCCTGCGCGCGCCGTACAGCACAATTTTATATCGTCGTTACTTTTAAAATATTTGACTAAATTACGTAGTTTAAAAGACATAATTTATCTACTTTGAACATAAGAAGCGATTAAACTATGTATTTTGATAAACTAAATTTGTTACTGCAAAATGTGCATTGGAAATAAAGTATTATTGTATTTGTTTAGGCCCAAAAAAGGTAATTTGTACGATATCCAATCACGTTCGACTTCGTGAATCGCCCGATGGTACCGGGTGTCACGCGCATCGGTAGGCAGCTTCCCAGCGTGTGACGCTCGTGGACGAGAGGATAGTAGCTCGACGGCGGCTGGGCAGTTAATTCGTGTCTTTCGATGCCCGCCGCTGAGGTTTCGCGAGACCGGTTTTTTTTTGTATTAAGGTCTAGAATTTTGGAAATGTGCGCGTGACTTCGCTACGTAATTGTGTTTCGTGAAAACCGCCTCGTTTTAGGTTGTCTAGGGTTTAAGTTCTTGACAAGAGGCTTGTACTGTGTTTAACTGATTAAAGTAACTTCTTTGAAGGTAATTGTGCCGTCGCGTTAAGTGACCTTTTTTGTGTGTTGACTGTTTTGTTAGTTTTACGTGTCAACGAGGCGTATTTTGAATTCTTATCGCAGCGTAGTATTTGATATCGAACGAAGGAATTTAGTTGTGTTTGTAACACTGAACCGTGTGACTTACCAAGAGATCGCGTTAGTTCACTATTCGTCATTTGGTGATAAATGAACCCGGGACATTGAATGTTGAACTTTAAACTACTGTCCGTTACTGTGTCGGGTGTCTCGTGTTCGATTCTACGATGAATGTGGAGTTAGGCGTGTTTAAATTAGTTAAATGTACAATGAAGTTAATAGACTGAAATAGTGACATGAAGAAAGAAATGGTCCAGCGGGGAAGCCTACTGGAGTGATGCAGCATTGTGGGGCAGCCTGGAAATCAGCCGCTGCCGGTCACCTCAGCTAGTCCAGGTCTCAGGCACATACACATCACGAAACACTACTTTCCATGCACCTTACACCCACCTACGGCCTGACCGAGCCTTGGGGCGGCATTAGATTCGGATACAGGTACGTACTATATTTTTCTAGCCTTCTCCCTTCAGTTTAGTATGATAGGATATTCTTCCATATGGCCATTTGGGCCCGACCCGCGTCTGCCCGTCGAGCTAGCTGCTATGGGCCCCAGTCAAGACGACCTTTGCAGGGGCAGCTGCGGGCCGTAACATTTTTGGTAGAGCGTGGTTGGATTGGTTTAATTTGTGTCTACAACCACGCCCGGCCGTAATACGTAATAATAAAATTCTTTTCTTTTGTTGCTTGCTTTTTTTGTTTCTTAGCGGGTAGATTCGAAAGCCACGCCAGTAGGTTGCGCAAGCGAGAGTTCGTTAGGGCTAGATATGCGTCGGGTAGGTAGATGGTTATTATCACGTAATCGGATAATTACCGTTTTCTTATAATTATAGTAGATTAATTGTCGAAGGGTCGGTTGTCCGAGCGAGGCATTTTTTGTTGATCGACTGTGGTGTGTATCTTTATTTGTATTGTAATTTGTATTTAACTTAATAAATAGTAACTTGTTTTTGTGTAATTTGTATTTAACTTGATTAGATAGGAATTGTATTTATTTGTTAATTAATTTGTATTTGAGCCGCGTAGTTATTTGT